GCAGATTTGTAGCCATTGTATCAGCTACAGATTCGATGCCTATATATATGTAAAAGATTTGTAGCCATTGTATCAGCTACAGAATCGATGCCTATATATATGTAGCAGATTTGTAGCCATTGTATCAGCTACAGATTCGATGCCTATATATATGTAGCAGATTTGTAGCCATTGTATCAGCTACAAATTTTTGCTACTATATACCTTAGCGAACAGTGGCTACAAACATTTGCTCTCATATATAAGAGCAGAAAATTGCTATATTAGCCTGTGAATAAATACCCTGATATTATTATTGAAACGGTCCAAGTGCCTGTGGAATAGCGCATACGAACAGGTGTCCAATTCAATTCAATTCAATCGTCCGATGCTCGGACGAATATCCACGTCGTTAGGTCAAAGTGTCAGTGAGACTGAGACTGAGACAGTGAGACGGAGACTGAGAGTGAGAGTGATTCAGACTCAGCGAAGCCAACATCAAACAAGTTTGTCATTTTCAGCTTAAAAAACACAACAATGAATACCACATTACCTTTGCCGTAGGAACTACTGTAATCTTTTTAAAATTGTAATGAGACATGATGGTTTCTGGCCTTTAGTTTGCCAAAACTGCCAGTTTCTGGAAGGTTGAGCACACGAAACATGAAACTTATGTTAACCTCGTGTGCGGAAGGAAGTAAGGATGGCGCTCCGCTCACTATGATGCGAAGACAAATCATTTCCCATATGCCGTCAGTTTCTATGTAAAACGTAGTTATTTTATCAATTTATTTGAAAAAATAAATAATACAATATAAAGGCACGTTGTTTTAGGGTTACTTATTATTATTGTTTTATTGTACAATAAAATTCGAGTGACGAGACAGGAAACCTACGCGATTTCCGTGTTTGAGTGTAGAGTAGACTGGTACCCGGTCCCACTTCTCGGCTTAGGAGAACACCCATCGAGTAATCAAGATGGGAGCGAGTACCAGTCTAAGTGTAGAGCACGTGTATCGAAAAAGAGCCAATGTGCGTTCGAACATTATCGTCGCGAGGAAGCTCAACTTGGTAAATACGTATTTTGATATATTCGGCACATTGTAGTTATACTTATAGTTATAGTTAGTTTGTCCATTATTGATTAATTTATAAAAAGTAATGGCCAAAAAGCGTGTAACTAGTAGTACTACTTTCGACGAAAAGCTGGAAGATTTTCGCGATGAACGCTGCGATGTGTCACTGTCAGCTCTGGAGCAAAACACAAAGTTGGGTAGGAATGCAGAATTTCTTTCGGCTCGTACTATTTGCTTGATAGTAGGAGCAGCGACTTTCCTAAAGTTGATGTGTCTTCCAGCCTACAGGTCCACAGATTTCGAAGTTCACAGAAACTGGCTAGCAATTACTAGCAGCTTACCAATCAGCAAATGGTATTATGAGAATACATCTGAGTGGACATTGGACTATCCTCCGTTCTTTGCTTACTTCGAGTATATATTATCGTGCGTTGCATACTACTTTGATTCAAACATGCTTGAGCTTTCGAACGTAAATTATGCTAGCTGGGGAACAGTTGTTTTCCAGAAAGCGTCGGTAATGGTTACTGATCTAGTGTTTGTGTATGGAGCAAAAAAGTGCATTCAGTCCGTCCCGAATAACACCAAACTTGCAATTTCCGAGATGGGATTGCTGGGGAACCCTCAATTTGTTCTTGCTGTCCTGCTGTTAACTAATTTCGGTCTGTTTATCGTCGACCACATTCACTTTCAGTATAACGGTATCTTATTTGGAGTGATGCTGCTTAGTATGGCACGAATTATGCAGGGTCGCAACCTGGAGGCTGCATTCTGGTTTGCTGTGCTGCTAAATAGTAAGCACATCTATATGTACATGGCACCGGCTTACTTCGTCTATTTGCTAAAGCACTACTGCTTCACTCACCAAACACGTGAGGGACGAGTCATACTCACATCTTTTGCGCCGTGGCGATTCATGCAGTTAGGAGCCGTGGTAGCATTTGTATTTGCCGCGTCGTTCGGTCCGTTTATTGTCATGGGACAGCTTGGGCAAGTACTGTCGCGACTGTTTCCATTCAAGCGTGGGCTATGCCACGCTTACTGGGCACCCAACTTCTGGGCTTTGTACAATCTCGTCGACAAAGTTGCGGCGACTTTGGCCGCCCGGCTCGGTTTCACGCAGGTGGCGCTGGCGCAGTCGTCGATGACGGGCGGACTCGTGCAAGAGTTCAGTCACGCCGTTTTGCCGTCGGTGTCTCCGCTCGCAACTCTACTCTGCACGCTGGCTTCCATATTACCGGCATTGCTGAACCTGTGGACTAGACCGAGTAGCAGGTGTTCGGCCGTTGAGTGCGCGGTTCTGTGCGCGTTCAGTGCGTTCATCTTCGGCTGGCACGTTCACGAGAAGGCGATCCTGCTCGTCGTTGTTCCCCTGAGTCTGCTGGCGACTCGCAGTGACGCGTACGCCCACGCGTTCCTGATGGTGTCCACCGTCGGTCACTACTCGCTCTTCCCGCTCATCTTCACGCAGGCCGAGACGCTCGTGAAGATCTCGCTTTTCACGTTCTCGACTGCGTTCGCGTTCGTGGGTTTAGCCGCCGTCCGCGGACGTCGGCCGGAGAGGTTTCGTCTGCCGTTCATGAGCGCGTGCGAGACGGCGTATGTTCTCGGATTGGTCGCGTTAGAGGTTTACTGTAGCGTCGTCCACCGAGTGCTGGGTCTCGACGGCAGACTTCCGTTCTTACCGCTGATGCTCACGTCGTGTTATTGCGCGGTCGGAGTCTGCTATTCGTGGCTAGTGTTATGTGTAACTTGTCTCCGTAGGTCGTACGGCGAAACACGAGCATAAGGAACGTGCACTCGTGAGGTTTCGGGCCTTCAGCTTGCTTTTTTCGATGATCGTAGCATTGACATTTCCTTTCAGGTTAAGTCAGTATCTTCTCTAATTCATCCACCAGTTCTTTGAGAAGACATGGGTATCTAGCTTTTGGCAATGAACTAGAAGATCTTCCCTCTTTAGTGTTCTTCCACTTGGTTAATATCTGACGCCACTTCATTTTCATTGGGCGGTAGTAGGCCACCTCCAGAGGCTGGGTCAGGTGTGTGCTGTTAGGGCGAGTTTTTTTTATTTTGGTGGTTTACAGATTCGCCGACCCGAATTTTCAAGAAAAACGAAAAAAAATAAAAATTGAAAATCTGTATTTTTTTATTCCCGCTACTGAAAACAGCCCATATTCAGTCTCCTCGTGAAATTGTCTAATTTCTTGCACACGCTTCCCTGTGTTTGCATTGTTATTTTTAACCTTTTCACTCAGGATATTTAATGTTGCAGCTGCAATCGAATGTATTATAGCTGACAGATCTTCATGCTGATACTTTGTGATTGGTTGCAAAAATATGCATTTAGTTAATTCACTCCATACACAAGGGAGGTTTTCTTGGTCCATATCGATCTGTATAACAGGCCCCAGCTTTACATCGCAGGTGGTAGAAATTGCGCCAGCGACTACACCTAGCCATGCGGTCTGGAAAGTTACGTACCGGTCAGCAAATTTCTCACTCTTGAAGCAATCACGGTATAAAGTAACAAAAATGTCAAGGAAAGCAAGCGCGTGAGACCAGACTTGTCCAAATGATCGAGAATCAAAACACGATCACCATATTCGAGGTGCAGCTCTTCTCGGACGTTGGTTTTAACCTTCTCTGCCAAGTTTTGGACGTCCGTGTCTTGGACTACAGCACAGACTGTATTCACTTCTCCGATTGTTAAGGCTATGCTTATTTTCGGACTTTTCCGTCGTTTGTCTTTCCTCATAACTTTCTCTATCTTTCGCGGTGCCATGTTTTAACTTTAGTGTTATTATCTCGCACATTACGCTTCTCGCGAGAAGCGAAACAAGTGCTAATATTCCCTTACGGTCCCCAGCGTTCCGTAATAGACAATAGAACACTAATCCCATAACAAAGTTTGGTCTGAAACATGCATCCATGCGTGAAAACTGTACGAAACCGTGTCGTATTCAAATAACTTTTTTGAAGAACACATACGATTTTCAGTTAAATTGGTGGTGTCATATGATTAAGGGAGAATCATAGACGAAAACAAGGTAAAGTTTGAATATATTTATTCACATATTAATAGAATATTTACAAGTTGAAAACTATGCAAAACGCTGTTAAAACCGTGTCATACTCTTCTCTATTATGTACTCTTGTTAATATCTGACGCCACTTCATTTTCATTGGGCGGTAGTAGGCAGGGGTCGAATTAGCCGCTAGCCCGCTAGCCCGGGACTAGTAATTGTTTGGAAGGGCTAGTTAAAGGCCAGTATGATGCTAGTAAAGTGGGGGCACCCTACTTAATTCCTAGCACCGCGTGCCTTTGGCACGCCTTTACTCAAATATCAACACCCCCTGTATCCTGAAAGCTAGATTCTCCCCTGCATAGAACCGACCATCTGACTCTGGACATTCATATGCAGTAGGCTACCACTTGTGTAGCTGTAACGTACTATTACTAACGAGTTTGCTCGCATACAAAGTTTCAAAAATATTGTTCAATGAAAAGTAGAAAATTCAGATTAATAAGATATACTATAATACCAGCCATGCTTACAACATATCGCACTGCCATAAATGCAAATAGTACAAGACTTACCTTGAAAAATCACGATAACTCCGTGGTAGGTATTCCATGGTTTCTTTCCCTGTGAAATGTTTCTCCCGCCAAGTTTTTGTATTGTTCGTGCGCGGGATTGCGCGCGCCCTTGCATAATTGCATTGCCTTCCAGCCAATCAAAGTACAATAACTTCAAATTACGTATACAAGCGGCGCCCTCTCTCATTCTCTCTCTCTGCTCCCCCTCTGTGCCCCGCTCCCCCTCTCTGCTCCCCCTCTGTGCCCCGCTCCCCCCCCTCCGCTGCCAGCTGGCCTCCCCCTCTCTGCTCCCCGCATGTGGTCCCCCCGCGCGTGTCTCTGTCGTGTGTGTGTGTGCCAACTACACTCACAGGGGATGTAGGGGGAGGTTGCGCGGCGCGCGCATGTGTGTGCGTGCGTGTGTGTGCGTGCGTGCGTGCGTATATGCGTACGTGTGTATGTGTATGTGCGTGCGTGTGCGCGCGTGCGTGTGTGCGAAATATATATGATATAAATAAATATGAAATACACGTGTAACGACGTACACGACGAGAACACGTGTAATGTACGTGTATGTGTGTACTTCGCGTGTGTGTACTGTGTATGTGTGTGTAGTGGGGACTAGTGGGCCTTCGGACTGACGGGCTGTAACCCTTTTATTCATGAGTGTAACACGTACATGTGCGAAAACATATTGCTGGTGTCCCCAGCTTTACGTGTACGTGTATGCATGCGCGTTATATTCGCGGAAATGCACGGTAGGAAAGTGTAGTAACTCGATCACCTATCTTGCGAACAAATTCAGTTACATCGTGATGCCAACATTTTGTAAACCACGTTTGGTCATATTAAACGTAGGGTAGTTTTTATGTGGCTCCACCCTGTGCTACTATACGAACAGCATACTGATCGTTTGTTATAGTTTACATCCAAACGTGAAATGTTTGGATGTCAATGTATGCGCGAATTACTTTACAACGTAGCGCGCGTGAACAGTGAGCGTGCCGCGCAAACCACCTGCCGCGTTTATTTATAAACCATCGTGTACGTCACGTAACCGTACGTGCGAACCGTCACGTACGTCGTGAATATCTGTAGCGGATATACTCGCTACTAAAACTGAACCTATAGAAGCAAACGGTTTGTAGCGAATGTATCCGCTATCTGTGAACGCAAACGTATGTCGTGAATATCTGTAGCGGATATACTCGCTACTAAAACTGAACCTATAGAAGCAAACGGTTTGTAGCGAATGTATCCGCTATCTGTGAACGCAAACGTATGTCGTGAATATCTGTAGCGGATATACTCGCTACTAAAACTGAACCTATAGAAGCAAACGGTTTGTAGCGAATGTATCCGCTATCTGTGGCTGAAAACGTATGTCGTGAATATCTGTAGCGGATATACTCGCTACTAAAACTGAACCTATAGAAGCAAACGGTTTGTAGCGAATGTACCTATCTGTGAACGCAAACGTATGTCGTGAATATCTGTAGCGGATATACTCGCTACTAAAACTGAACCTATAGAAGCAAACGGTTTGTAGCGAATGTACCTATCTGTGAACGCAAACGTATGTCGTGAATATCTGTAGCGGATATACTCGCTACTAAAACTGAACCTATAGAAGCAAACGGTTTGTAGCGAATGTATCCGCTATCTGTGGCTGAACGCAAACGTATGTCGTGAATATCTGTAGCGGATATACTCGCTACTAAAACTGAACCTATAGAAGCAAACGGTTTGTAGCGAATGTATCCGCTATCTGTGAACGCAAACGTATGTCGTGAATATCTGTAGCGGATATACTCGCTATTAAAACTGAAC